AGACAGACATATTTGCATGTCCTCACTAAGCATTATTACATATTAATTTAATATTAAACAAATCAAAATGGCCAATTATCCCAAAATGTTGCTGCTAATATAATCATATGCTTGTCAACTTTAACTGATCAAAAATCAATTCTGAAAAAATACTTGAATTATCTATGAAATTGCAATATTGTCCCTCAGTTTGTTTCAACCCCGTCACGCCATACCATTTACCCTCCTATTAAAATAATGGATCAGTCCATGTGTGATCTGCATTGAGGGAATTACATCACAAAAGTGTCAGTTTCTTCTCTTACCTATATTTTAGTTTTTGTATTTTCAGATTAAGATTGACAAGCTCAACATTTCAACTATGTTGTATGAATTAATAATAGTAAATAATTGTTTATTACAAAAATAAACAATAGTTTTGCAAAATATTACAATTTTGTAATGTCCTTGACTTCCATGTGGTGCCATATCTTAGCTAAACAAGGTCTCATGCCTACTTTTTGTCAAAAACGTCAACTCTGTTAAATTTTTTCAAGGAAATTCCTAGTAATTATTTATATTTTGTGCCTGAGGTGGGAAAATGTAAGTAGTCTACTACCAGATGTTATGACCAAACATTTTGGTTTCATTTTTCAAAGATATAAAGACCCAAAAGGCACCCGATTCAGAGAATACTCAGAATTCTGCATACTGTAAGTACTTAATTATAATTAAGTACACAAATGACATCACCCATCTCTTCAGAGAGCTACAGGTGACCTGTGCAGCAACACATTTCAATCAATAATTGTCAATACTAAGAGCTGCTAGATTGTGCTGCTGTAATGGAATATGTAAGGAGAATAAGAACATACCATGTGGTCCAGCTGGAGTTTCATCTGCCTCCTGATCCCTGCCTCTGGCCCTCTTTCTGATACTTCATCTTTATTCCTCACATATATTTCTTCTTCTTCACTAATGTCTTCATCTCCTCCTCTTCCTCCTGCTCTGACCATCCTGGTCTCTTCATCTCCTCCTCTTCCTCCTGCTCTGACCCTCCTGGTCCTTTCATCTCTCTTTTCCTTTTCCTCTTTCTGTTCGTCCTGATCACTTCTCATATGTCCTTTTGTTGTTGTTGAATCACTCCTATACTCTGGCCTGCAAGAGTCTACTTGTGAAAAGCACTGGTACAAATGCTTGTATAACTTTACAAGTTAGGGCCATGTAGCCTAGCTAATATGTAGCATATCATAAATATAACATCAGAAAGTATTGATCAAGCGCACACAGGCAGCTGTGTTTGGATCCAGTTTTTACGGTAAAGGATGTATCCTGGTTTCATTGATCTGGCCTCATGGCTGTGATGTGTAGTTTACGTGGATTTAATAGTAGGCTACCGCGTAGTTTAGCAAAGTGATCGATCTCCCAGCTAACGCTGTCTGCGTAGTATTTTGTAACGTAACGCCCGAAACAGCGCCCGTCTGTTAAACGCTATCGATTCAAACTAAAGCGTTTTATTAATATTTAGTTTCAAGCTCTCGTTTTTAGTCAAAACAAAACTAGTGGAAAGGGAAATGCTCCAAGGGGAAGCTGATCCATAGGTAGTGGGACAGCTCGCTCCCTCTCTGCAGCGGTGTGAGCCACGGGCTGTGTGAACGCCGCTCCGCAGTTTAATGCAGGGCCGTAGCTGCGTTTTTAACGGGCCTAAAATGATATTTAAAATGATTCACTTTTAACTAATGTAATGCTTGTTTTGTTGCTTGAGAAGCTTGTGGAAATAGTGTAGGTTTGTTTTAGTACAGTTTTAGGGAAACAAAAGTTAGGGGGGCAGCTGGGGGGGCAAGGCTCTACAGTGGGGGGGCAGCTGCCCCCCCTTGCCCCCCCCCCCGTAGATCCGCCCCTGGCCCTACCATAGATTACCCAACAAAAATACTCTCTCGCAACTGCCGACCCGTATTGCGCATGCGCAGATCTAAGATCCAGTAGAAATGATAAAAAAGTAAAAGTCTGCTGCTTATTGTTCTACTAGGCCAAAATAAAGTGTGTTAATTAATATGTTTGGCAGTTTGGAGTAAGTCTGTAGATTTGTTTGTGTGTGTGTGTTTCATGTATAGGCCTCTCACGATAATTAATTTTGTTGGATACATTTTCCCGGAAATGATTGCGATAAACGATAATATTGTCGGCACCGTTGTATGACCATTTTAGACCCCTGACATAATGATAATATATAATAATAATTAAAGTACATCCTTTCAAACTGCTAGTCACATCCTCATGTAAATGGCAATTTATCGAGTTCATTTTTATTTATCGTACGATAAGTCAATTAATTGCTTATCAGGCACACAATAAAACAGTGGAAACAAACATGTGTTTGACTTTCATTAGTGAATTAAACTTTGTGCCCTTTATAATCTGTGTCCAATATTGTGTATTTGTATATATTGTATATATATCCTATATATATGCTAAGGTCCCGCTGCTGACACGATAGCAGTCATTTCGTGCGCATATGTGTAATCAAACCCATGATATAAAAATCTCACTCCAGCCAGGTACCCAAAGTTGGCAACCCTGCAAAATATGCTCGGGCCACATACACACACACACACACACACACACACACACACACACACACACACACACAGCCGAGCTTGAATGACACACAAAGACCCAGAAGTAGTTGTAGGCCTACTGTAATGTAGCATATTATTTTCAATAGCGTTATTGACTGTATGATCAGTATGTCAGATGAATAGATCGCCACTGGGCTTACAACTAAAGTTGTAAAAACTGACCGGTTAACCGATCAATTAAAGTATTTTATTTTTTATTTGTGAAGTGCTGGAGCAGCGTTCCGGTGCGTTCCGGCAGCACTACACCACGTTACGCTCGTGTTGTGTTCAAGGAACCTATCCTTGGCCAGGAAAAACAGGCACTCGCTTGTTTAATTCTGTTGCGGTCTAGATTTTTTTTTTTGCGTGTGTTTATAAATTACCTTGAGGGCCGTATCAAATGGAGGTTCCCCACCCCTGCTTTAGGGCGAGGCAACCTTGTGACTGATAGGTCGCTGTCTGTGTTTTTCTCTTATAACTTTAACTCTTTTATAATTTGTGTTTTCATTTCATCTAAGTTAATTGCAACATTTCGGCAGCCTAAAAAGAGGCTTGTTGAGTGGTCTGTTGTACCCTCTGTATCACTTCAGTTAAGATGGCCAAGATGGCCAAGATGCCAACGTCCAAAAACTAAGATGATATGAAAAAATATATGGTGACACATCACTACAACCTAAACTAACATGGCGATACCAAAGACGGAGGTGGCCTCCAAGGCCCAATTCCGAACAGACCTCTACACCTTACCCCACTCTTCCACTCCGTTTGCGTGTTCGCGTGGAGGGTTGGCCAAATTCTGTGCCGCTTGTGTCCGTCGTGAAACACGATGTGTACACACATTTTCTGTGCAAACATTTACAAGTAAACTGCAAAACAAGTGACATTTAATATCGGCATACAGATGTTAAAAACGTCATGTTTACATATTTGTTACCCGTGTCAAATCTAGAAAACGCTCAACGTGTGTCAAGTTTTGTATGTTTACAGACTGTTGCAAAAACCAAGCAGCTCAGGAATATCAAATCTAAAAATAAAAATAGCTTTACCAAAAAAACTGCCTTTAAAGATTCTTTGAGTTTTATTTTAGTTATCATCTAATATGTTTGGCAAAAGATGCAGATTTGAAGACGTTGTTAAAGAAATTATGACAAATTCTTGTTTCTGTCTAAGAGAGGGGAGGAGTTCACTGTCACATAGGGACGTAGGGTCGGTTTGGAATATGGCCATAGTAAAGCCAATATAGCGAAGACCAAAAACCAAGGTCGCAACAGCTTGACAACAACCCCCAGGCAGGAAGTATGCCGGACATTGATGCGAATGTTAATTGTGGCCAAACGGCAGTATTACAGCGCAGGCTCCATTGGACCAAGATCCAGCTATGTTGCTCTCCAGAATCAGGCATCATGCGCCACTGAGCAACTTTCATCTGAACGGGGTCCCGCCTCCAACACTGTATCCAGTTCCCTTTATACATCCATGATTGACACCAATTTCATTTTCAAATCATATGTTATGATGATATACAGACAAAACTGTTCACACCATAGATAGATAGATAGATAGATTGGGAAATTATTTAGTTTTTTTTCCTGAACATTATCAAAATCATCACAAAATGAGTTTATATATTTTTTTATGTTTGTTTATTATTTAAGATACTAACATTTTATATATATAAAGCATCGCTGTTTATAAAAACATTTATTTTATTCGAAGAAATCTTAATTTTGAGGCTTTTCCAACCATATTTTCATATGCGATTGATAGCATTTAAATAAATTAATGAATCAGATTTAATTTATTTACTTGATAAAACAATTAAATCCATTGATGCCCTATAGCTTTACAAGGTTGTATGTATATATATATATATATATATATATATATATATATATATATATATATATACGCCTATGCAGGCTAGGCTATACGTTTTTATGTATATGCTGTATATGTATATACAGTAGGCTATATTTATAATTTAGATATTAGTGAATGACATTGCACTGTGATTTATATGTATCAGATTTGTACCATCCCCTCCCTCCCCCTGACCAAATAAGGACACACAGGATGAACAGATTGTCCCCCTGATCTTCATTCACCGGAATCCAAACACACCTCCCTGCTGCGGAGAGAAGGAGGGGGGGCAGCAGCAGGTACAAATGGAGGGTGGGATTGACGCATGCGCACTCGCGCTCCATCCCCTCCGCATCGCCCCCCCTGTCCTCCCTCCCTCCTTTCTCTTTTTCTGCAGCATCAGTACCACACTCCCTCCCTCCCCCACTCTCTCTCCCTCCCTCCCTCTCTCCCTCCCTCTCTCCCTCCCTCTCTCTCCTCTCTCCCTCCCTCCCTCCCTCCCCACTCTCTCTCCCTCCCTCCCTCCCTCCCTATTTTTCTCTCTCTCTCTCTATCTCTCTCTCGGTGGTGTTGCTGCCGGGCTGCTGCTGCTTTGCGCGCTGCGGGGCCACACTGCGACCGCACCGAGGAGGAAGAGGAAAGAGCCGCGTAACCGAAAGGGGGGCCAGGCTGAGCCAGAGCGGCGGAGAGGCACCATTAAATTAAAATAAATAAAAAAGAAGAAGAAGCAGCAGCAGCAGCAGCAGCAGTAGCAGCGGAGGGTCTGAACGCACCGGATAATAAAAACCAACCTCCTGTCGGCGGAGACGCGTCACCCCGCGCTGTTCCTCCCTCCATCCCTCTGTCCGCGAACGGGAAGTGAAGCAGAGGTGCAAAACGAAGAGGAGGACGAACAGAAAAAAAAAACCTTGTTGGGGAATCTCGGAGCGCAAAACGACGCCGGACACCTCCCCCCTCCCCCCCCGCATCAGGGCCGATTCTCCGTTTTCTAGAGGCCAGCTCGGCGCGGCGACACCATGAAGGACCGTACGGCGGAACTGCGAAGCGTAAGCTCAATTTTACCTCTTTATTCCCATCCATGTTGGCCTCCATGTTCCCTCCTCCTCCCCCTACCCTCTTCCTCTCTCTCTCTCTCTCTCTCTCTCTCTCTCTCTCTCTCTCTCTCTCTCTCTCTCCAATCCTCCTGCGGCCGCGGCAGCTGCACGGCCTCGCCACCTCTCTGGTTGATGAAAGCGGCTAAAAAGCCTCGTAGAGCCTGCTTGGTGTGCGCGGAGCGGCGCGGCTCACGCTGTGCATACAGAGTGCATGGGGCTGCAGATCTGGGGGTGGATGGAGCCTGAAAGGGGGGCTTTCCTCACACATTTGATAGGTTGTTCTCTCAGTAGTAGGCCTATCTAGTATGAGTGGATGCTCGGGGGCTCACTCAGGCTGGAGGTCACGTTCACAGCGGCACGTTCGTTTTATTCTCTTCTCCGCGTTTAGCAGGTGATGTGCGCGCGGCGGGTTTAGACGCAGAGGCCCTGCTCAGGTTTTTCTCTGCTCGTGCAGCGCTGCATGCATGATGGGTAAATGGGTTTAAAAAAGGAAAATAAACCCTCTACCATTAATGCTAAGGTGGCCGTGCACGTTCACGCACGCGAACCTGGTGACCTGATGGAGAACAGAATACAGTGATTTATTTTCTTCTTTTTTACTCAGAGGCCGCATCCCGCAGCCCGCGCGCCTCCTCCCTGATGGAGAGGCTCGTGAGGGTGGATGTGCGGCTGGGTGGAGGCATCACGGTGCGGGCGGAGCGGAGGATGCGGTTTTATCTGCTCCTTTTCCACGTGTCTCCTTTTCCGCTCTCTTTCACTGCCCCCCCCCCCCCCCCCCGCCTCACCCACACGGTGATAGTGAAAAGATGGGGGAGGGGGGGGGGGGTCTTCATTGTACCAAAGCCTCACCCATTTTATGACTGTGTGGCTCTGCATCGGGTGACTGGAGGCTTTGACGCGTGCGGTATGCGGGGCGACGCGGTGCGGTAGGGGACTTCTCCAAGCGAACAGCTGATGCAGGCAGTTTGGGCGGATTGTGGGGGGACTTTTTTTTTGGGAGGGAGGGGATGTGTAGGGGTGTCACATCAGCTGCTCAAACTCTGCAGCAGCTCCGCGCTTCCCGCCGCCACCACCCGGGTTCAACCGGGTTCGTGCTAGGCAGCGAAATACAGCATCTCTATAAATATATTTGTATTAATACCTCTATTTATATCTGTCAGTGCGCCCATTTAATACTACAGTGATTTATTGGAGATTTTCATGAATTAATTTCCATTTTATTACATTTTCTGCAGCTCCATTTTCCTCTCACGTCACGTCTCTGTTACAGATGAATTGTGGGAGATCAGCTGATCCAAAGCATCTAATATATGTGTGTGTGTGTGTTTGTGTGTGTGTGTGTGTGTGTGTGTGTGTGTCGAGGTAATTTGCATTAAAAAAGTGACAGGCTCAGCACCGCCTGGAGTTTACCGCACTGCTGTCCATCCATCCGTCCTCCATCCTTCTCCATCGCTCCTTACTTCCTCCATCTTCCCTTCATTCCCCCCACCTTTCTCCATCTTCCATTTGTTGCCTCATTCCTCTATCTTTCCTCACTCTCCATCCTCAATCTTTCTCCATCCCTCAATATTTACTATACTTTCTCCATATCCTTCATCCATCCTCCTATCCTCCATGTATCCTCCATGTATCCTCCATGTATCCTGCACATTTCTTTGCATCCCTTCATCTTTTTTTGCTCAATCTTTCTCCATCTTTTCTTTATCTTTCTCCATCATTTCATCTTACCTCCATATTTCTTCCATCCCTCCATCTTTCCTTCTTTTCTCATTCTTTTTTCATCTTTCACTATCTTTCTATTTCTATCCTTTCCGTCCTCCTTCTATCACTTCTTCTAACCATCTTCAATCTTTTTCTTTTCCTGCATGTCTCCATCCTCTACTCACTTTAACTTCACCTTTCCTCCATCACCTTATCAATCTTTACATTCCTTCTTCCTCACCTGTTGCATTTCTTTACAATTTACTCTAACTAATACTTATTTGCATTATCTGGCATTTAGTGTATAAAAAGTCACGTCTTTGGTCCAAACCCTATATAGACCAACTATGATAAATAAAGGTATCAAATCATCTCATTTAAGTAGCTGATAGAATATGTTTACAATTATGTGACTAAAATGACACATTTATCACCAAAATATGTGGCGATTTCATTAAAACAAACAAATGTGATGTTTTATTAATCCGTAGATTAGCCTGTTAAACCCCATGCCCCCACCCATGGGGGGCCAAACACAACAATATTCACGAAACTGTGTCTCAGGGCTTCTTAACATTTAACAACCTATTCATGTGTCCCACTTAACGGGAAGAGACTCAGCGAACTGACGATATGAACCATTTTTACTCAAACAAAACACAACTCTCACGCCAAGCGTCTGAATTAGCACTAAGCGAAAGAGTGCTAACGCACTTAGCACATAACTCACGTTAGCGATCTTTTATATTTCATCGGATCTGCACAAACTAGATATGAAAGCTGAGATTCCACAGATTCCAATGAGTATCATCACAGTGCGAACAAAACTCGCAGCAGCGAAGGCAAGCAAACACAACACACAACTTCACTTTAGGGCCAAAACGGCAAATACGTCTGGCCTTTGCTGTTTTCTGATCAAAGTTGTGTTCAATGGCATTAAAACGCATATAAACGCTGCTGTGTATGAGAGCTGTAACCCAGCTTCCGGTTTTGGGCATGCTGGCTGCGCATCACTCTCATTCACCAATGGTAATGTTTAGGTGGATTTAGGAACTTCCCCTCGATTCTATTGGCTCTAAAGGTCAAATTTAACTTGTTTTGCATCAATCTTGATACAGGGTACTTATTATATGTTATACTTTGGATCTCTAAAGCTTTTAGTCTACTATCCCATTTTATTTTTTTTTGGGACGGAAACTATAATTTAAATGTTTTTACTATGTTCAATCTGAATTTAGTTTAAAATAAAAACATCTATATTGATTCTGACTTTTCTACATCCAACTCACCTTGCTTTGAGAAAAAAGATTATTAATTTACCCCCTTTCAGAAGGGAAGAAAAACAGGCGTGGGGTTTAACAGGTTTGGTTGTAATATTTAGGTGTTTAACATTTCTTTAAAAGTTCTTGAATATACATTTGAATATGATATAAAACACGGACAAGCAGGACATATTTGAAAGGGCGAAAACAGCATTTTCTGAATTTATCATGAAAATGACTTCAACGATTAATGTTGTCAAAATAGTTGGAGGTTATTCTTCTGTCCCTTGATTAATGGTTGCAGCTCTAATTAAACTGTGACTCGCAAAGATGTAGACTAAAGAATCCTAGAGGGAGAAAAGAGGAAAAGGGAGACAAAAAGGAAGTAGTGAAAATGGAGGAGAGGAGGAAAGAAAGCTAAAACAAGAGATGGAAAGTGTTGTAGAGGAATGGAGGAATAAAGATGGAAACAAGAAGGGAGGGCGGACAAGGAATAAAAGAAGGGAGGGGAGGAAGGATGGAGCAAAAAGACGAAATAATGAATGGAGGACAGCATTTCTAGTTAGCTAAGATTGTAGAGCTGTAACATTTAAATGTAAACTCATGTAAAAATGTAATTTATTTTTTAAATGTAATATTTGTCTGCTTATTTTCAAACTGAAACGGAGAATTGAATGTATTATGCCTTCAGATTTGACATAACTGTATTAGGTTAGTTGAAGGCAATAATATTAAGTTCAAATACAAAAGAAGTTCAAATGTTTTGACATTTGTTGACATAATACATTTATTTCAAGTCAACATTTCAGTTTTTTCAACGTGGCAGTGATTGAGTGTCATTGGGTCAAAACAAGACATTATAAAATATCATGAAGTGTATTCTGATGTTTTATGGACCAAATATGCTGCAAAGATTAGTTGACATAACAAATTTGAACTATTTCCATGATTAAGTAACATTCAAACATTGACATGTGCTGCTTTTCTCAGTTTTATATCAAAACACTGAATATCAAAACAAATTGCCATGGACTTTAAGAAACTGGCATTGACATTTGTCTTTGTCTTATCACATTGTATACATCAGAAATAATGTTTGAATGCAGCTCTAATTCAGCCACTTGCCAAATATGAGCGGCAGCCATGCACCTCTGTTACATTTTCTGTGCATTTAAGAAAAACACAACTTCTCTCGTAGTATTATCATAAAAAAAGTGTTCTGTGCTTTGCACTGAATAAACTGAATCATTGACTTTAGTGAAATATATTATATCAACAAATTCCACATCACTTTTTTCAGTGTGTCAAGGACATTTTTCTGCAGGAGTGTAGACCTCTTTTAATTTAAGGTGCCATGCCCACTGCACCTGGCGGGAGTGCGCACAGCGTAAAGCCAAAACTCAGACATTTCAATGATCTGTACGGCAACGTTAGGTTTGGAAACGGTATCATTTCCTTTTTGGCAGGCATGCTTAACACGGCATAACACCGGAGCCTCGCTGCGGGGAAACTTTGGCGCTGTTCCGAGTTTGTTCAAAATGACGGACTGCTTTCAGATGTTTCCGCCATTGTTAAAATAAATCCGTAATAGACGGAAGATATTCGCTTAACGCGACCACTGGCTGAAGCAGAGGGGATTATGGGATGCTACAATGATCTGTTTGGTATTTGGAGCCAAACACTTCAGTGACATGTTTTCTATCTGAAACCTATAATATATTGATGAAAAAGAGTAGACCTTTAAGCTGGGACTGGAGCTTGCTTATTCTTCTTCTGCAGTGCTTTAACGGCACACACTGGTTTCTATATACATTCAATTAATATTCACGTAACAGCGGAGTGTAGCCTCTCTCCTTCTTCCTTTGAGCCCTATGACTCCTCCTCCTGTCGGCCATGTTGGATCAGTGGAGTGTGATCCGGCTCCGTGCTGCAGCCGGTAACAGATGCTGCTGTATCATGCAGCGGCCGCTCTGAAACAATTCTCATTTA